GTGAAAGAACACCTGCTTACCAATGTAGAAAGACTTTGGAGACATTTCTCTAATGATGGTATATGCCCGGAATTTGTGCATCATGTGCTGCGGGATTGTACAGCAGCAGCAGCAACATGGAATCGGAATGTTCCACGTAGTGAGCTTATGGGATTCTTTTCCTTTACTTATAACCTTAACCTTGGAAATAGTAAGCTGCAAATTAACAATGTTCCCTGGTGCATCATTTTTGGTGTTACGTGCTGGTTTATGTGGAAATGGAGAAATTTCGTGGTGTTTAAAGGACAAGTGTTAATTGTGCCAGGCCAATTGGATGTGTTTCAAAGTCTAAGCAACTACAGTTCATACTACCAACATGATTAGTTGGGATGGTGGTTGTCAAACGGCTGGTAAATATCACGAAATTTTTATTTGATGGAGTCCCCAGGAGATAAGTGGGCTGTTTTAAATTCAGATGGAGCTTTTAGGCAGTCTCTGGGAACAACCAGCTGGTGGTGGGGTACTGCGCAATGGCCTAGGGGAGTGGATTGGTGGGTTTACAACAAGATTGGATACTTACACGGTGTATAGAGCTGACTTTGGGAAGTGTATAAAGGATTATTACTAGGAATTGGGAGTTAGAGAAGACATTGTGCAGGTTGATAGTCCACTAGTTGTGAAACCTGTTAATTTTTCTTATTCCATGTAGGAAGTCTGGCCTAATACTTGCAATTTGCAAGTTATTGGAGGAGTGGGAGGTTGTCGTAAAGCACATATTTAGAGAAGGAAATTGCTCAGCTGATTTCTTGGCTAATTTAGGTTTTGAGATGACAGACGTTCACACTATTTTCCCTTCTCCTCCTTTAGGAGCAGGGGCAGGGGAGATTATGATGGATGACATATTAGAGCTGTGTATTCCCCGGTCAATTAGAATATAAAATAATTACTTTTCAAAAAAAAGTAGCGTGCTTTTGATATAATTCGTATGTAACTCAACTACTAATTAGAAGTTAAATCTATTTATAATTTTATATAACATAAACTTTAGAAGAATCAATTAAAAAATACAATAAAACTTATTATTTTCTAAAATATATATTTTTTTGTTAAAATCATTATCTAAAAAATAAAGAAGAATTGAAGAATTTTCACATTATTGCAAATATTTAGTTTTTACTGAATTACCTATTTGTTAGAATTAATCTCTTTTTTTTGTTAATTTTTGTATGTTAAACGTGGATTCTTTTCGCGAGAGATTCATGCATCTCAGATAAAGTTGCCAGGTTGTTCATTTAGCTAAAACTTGAGCATAATTTTCTCGTTGATGAATTGGAAAAAAGGACAACAAGAAAGACAAAAGAAATTGGAACAATTTCATTTAATTTGACAGCGACATGTGTGGAGAAATTATTCCAACATTTTAACAATGAATTATCTCTTATCAAAATAGGAATAAAAAAAACGTTATCAAGCATTAATAGGTATTTGGATCTATGCATAAAATCAGGAGCGGAGCCATGGCCCAAAACTTTTAAAAAAATTTTCATGTCCTATAAAAATTTTTAAATTTTTTTATATATTCTATTAATGATCTCCTCAAAATAATTTTTTATTTAATAATTAACATAAATAAAAAATAAAATGATTTCACATATCTCACTCAATTTTAATTTTTTAATTTGTACTATTTTTGTTTTTATTTATTTATTTTTTTTATTTCTATTCTATTTATTCATATATTATAAGTTTCTACAAATTTTCTTTCCCAAATTTTTACATACCATTAACCATACTCTTTTTCTTTCTGTTTTGTTACGTAATATGTGGTATCTACCTTTTATTTATCATGTTCTTCTTTTTTATTTTACATAGATTTTATTTTTTATGATTTTAATTTTTAAAAATTAATAAATTATATAGTTCTCAAATATAAGTTATAGTGTTACATTGTTACTTAAAATTTCATCAATCGATCATTTTATTTATCAATCTTGATTACATAAGAAAAAATTAACTTAAGTTTTTTTTAAATGCTTTACGTTTTATATTTAGTTGAAATAAAATTATCTTAAATATATAGTATTTAAATAATTCTAATTATATAAAAAAAAATTATTAATCTTATATATCATTTTTAACTATTTATATTTTACAAATTATAATTTTATATTTAGTTTCATATTTCTATTATCAATATTTTTATTGTTGATTGAATTTAACATATTAGTTTTTTAAAATTTTTAACTCTTATCCTTCTATATTTGGCCTCCCAACAAAATTTGGCTAGCTCCACTCTACATAAAATTATTTTGTCTTCTAGCTACACCACAATAGGTTAGATAAGCAACCGCATACCCGCCAGTAGCTGAGCCAAGGTAGATTATACTTTGTTGATTTTTATTCTATCATCCTGTTCAAGTATAAAGTGGGACTGATTTGTCCTACAAATACATCAAATAAGAATTGCTCTCTAAGAGCTTGAAACATGTAGCTATGGTTTGTTGTGATGATTGGGCTCCTCTATTTTACAACAATATGCCAACGACACAAGTTTGCTAAATGATCATTCATCTTTCTCTCTAGTTAGATTTTTTTTTTTTAAAAGGTTGTGGTATTGCTTAAGAAACTTTACAAAAATAGGTCAATGGCTGGACAAAAAAGCTTCATTTAAAATAGATTTCGTTTGATTATCGATGAAT